TGTATATATATATATATATATATATATACATGTTCAGTTCTAAGCTTGAAAACATCTCCGCGTCATCGAAGCTCAGAAGCAATTATTGAGCCTCAACAAGGCAAGCCGGCACAGTGGAGACATCATTAAGAGACGTCGTGCAGTGCAAGATCGATTTACTTTACGAAAATAACAAATGATTTTGACACAGCTTGCTTTTCAAGTATGAGGCTAGAGATGCACAGGTTACCTCTAGCAGCAGCTTTCACACCTACCTCTGCACCAAGCAGAGTCATCTGTGAGCCATCCGACCTCTCCACGTGAAAGCTGTACATCTCAGCCAGTGGCAAATCCCCGCATATGTCGCCGTTCAGCACGAAGAACGCCTCCGGGTTACCGGCTAGGATTTGGTCGCGGAAGTGGTAGATGCCACCAGCTGTTCCCAGTCCTGTGTACTCCTGCAGATACCTGTGACACCAAGTCATTAATTACTCATAACTTTATCATCACACACATACCAGTTAGGGATCATATTTCAGCAAAGTAAAGCAATTACTTGAATGTAATCACCATACTACACATAGTTAGTATATATATATTATTATTATTATTATTATTATTATTATTATCATACAATTAGGGATCGGATAACCGTCTTGTATCTGCATATATTACAGTAAAAGAAATGAAAAGGGATATATGGTAGAACCACATTCTATACTACAAGATCAACTACACAATCGAATCTATAGTTTAGATGCTAAAGATTCTGGTAAGTGTGTAGAAATCACGTAGTTAAATTTGCAATTACCTACCATGATTTGTGACAATCGCCAGGAGAGTGCAGACTTACCTTACTTGTATTTTAAATTCTCGTTGCGTATTGTTGATAAACTGTCTTATAGATTCGCTAGGCTGATAATTCCCAATAAGCAGGATCTCTCTTAACCCTGGAACCTACCGCAATTCATAAAAAAAAAAAAAAAACATCAGCACGATTATTAGCAATTCAAGCAGGATTCTGAGGTATTGTAGGCAACACATACACAGGAAATATATATATAAATATTCTTAAAACTATATCACATCTTCCACTTCCATTAATCCTGATATGACAAAAACCATCATAAAATATGTCTGTATAAAAACAAACCCGTCCGCACGGCAATCAAGGCTGCTCTTTGTTAGATCTCTTCCCTTCTCAAACTTACTTTTGAACAAGCTTCAATGTGATGATAGATCATTGGGAATCCTGCCACTGGGAACAGTGGCTTTGGAAGCTCTAGTGAGAGAGGGCGAAAACGCGTCCCTGTGGATAAATTAAATGACATACGTCAGACGACTAAAGAAGTGTCACGCGTCACACTCGCCACTATAGATCTTGCGTACATTGTGCGAGAGCCTCTCAGAGAGACAGTGTTGATTGATGCATATTGGCCTATTTTCGGTCGTATATAGGGTACTACTACGTGCGTTGCCAGCTTTGCATGAAAAAGAACGCTGTCCCCCCGAAACAGATCAACCCTTCGCTCTGCTCCTGTTAATGGAGTGAAGGGTTACAAGGTTAGAACTAGCGCAGAGGTGCGTACGTGATATGATGTTGACGTAATAGTTTAAGAATTGAAAACCTAAATTAAGGTAATCACAGTTATATTAACGAATGTAAATCTACTCAGACTACTGTAAACTAGCTCAGTAGCAGTCAGTGTGTACAGGCAGACTACAGTCCTCGAACGCATGTACACGTCATCACGTGAAAATTAATGTTGACGCAGCGTTCATAGGTTACCTTTCTGGCGGCCTCCGATCAAAATTATTGCCTTCAATGGTCTCATGGTTATAGACAGTGAGACATCAAATGCATGGAAGACTAATCGTAGGTACTCTATTTATTTGCGACAAGGAACCTGGAGGCTTCAGTTGAGGAGTAAATGTATTTCTACGATGGGACGAAAGTTTCTCATGAATCCGGCGATCCGCATGAATCACATACTGCAGGAGGCGCCACCTTGTGGGACAACAATAGTCACAATAGGCACTGCTTTCGGCGCTGCTAGATGGCAATAGTGTTTCGACATGGCATCTCCTGCGCTTGCAATAAGACGTTAGTATCATCCTTACGCCGGTTAATTTGTTATGTTTTTAACAGAGATGCCCGCGTAAAATTAATTAATTGACAAGTTAAAGAACCACACCACACTAGTTTAGAGATGCTTGCTTACATTATGCAGTGCTAATTTTGCACTAAAAATATGGTTCCTTCATCCATGGTCGCTAACCTGCCACTGACAGTGACAGTACAGTGTACTCGGTAGGTACTCACTACTCAGTACGACAGTAGTGTTGAGTGTTGTGACCTGTGTTGGCCGTGCACGATGTGATTCACTGACTGTTTATAGACGCTCGTAACACGTTATTGGGCCATCACTCGGTATGTAGTGTAGTGTAGGCTGTACCGTATACGACCACGGTAGTCAGTACGTCAACAGTGAACACTGAACACTATAACAATAATTTTATTATACTATTGTTATATAATAGTATAAAGCCATAGAAGCCAGGGAAATGTTAAATAATGAAAGAATCTGTTGTTTTTATCATTAGAGCCGCTGTCTCCAGACCATGAATATGTTAGACCAGCGAAAGCAGTTCGTTCTGTCATGGACATGGACAGGTGGCAGCACTCTCAGGTAACGTTATCGTAAAACTGGGTTTTCTTGTGTAGAATCTATGTATGAATGCATCGTGCTAACAACCCAAAATTAACCCCAAACCTTAATATTAATCATAAACTTAACTTACTCAAGTCAATGATGTTATTTTCAGGCCTATTCAGATCTGATGGGCTTTCTGGTAGCCATGAACGAAAAAGTGAAAGGCGCGAAGCTGGGAGATGATTGCCATGTATCGCCCGTAAGTTGCTTTCGTCTCGTCGGCTTGTGGATGTGCTCCTGATACAACATAACATAAATGTTTAGATTTTTCCACATGTTTCCCTTCTGGTACATTAAGTCAGAAATGTGGAATTGTGTTTCCGCACACTGGTTTAGGCTCTGCTTTACACTTTTGTTATCTTATGCAATCTGTCTAATGAATGTGAAATTCGAGATACCTCTAATTAATGTCACTGACGTGTGTTTATCAACAATCCTAGTTGTTGTCATGGCTCATCGTTACCATTGTATTGTTCTGCCATGCATAGGTTACCGAAGGATTATTAAAAGTGTTGGAAAAGATGGATCAGTGGATTGATGAGACGCCACCTATTGATCAACCACAGAGGTTTGGTAACAAAGCCTTTAGAATATGGTTCGCCAAGTTACAAGAGGTACACTTCTAATAAGAAATAAAGTTATATCTTGCACAATGCTTGACATTAACTCAATCACTTTCTATGGTAGTGGGTATTTGCTGGGATATAAAGTTTTCAGTAGAAATTGTGATTTGCTGCGATTTGCAATTGAAGGTTCTTCTAATGTCATATACAAACTAGAGGTTAGCATGGTATAAAATTACCTGAAGTCTCTCCGCACCATTGAATACCCAAGGCTAATGAGACCATAATTTATTTCAGAATATTGAGGAAGAGCTGAGAAATGCTTTGCCTGCAAACTTCCACAGGGCTGTTGCTGAGGTTAGCACTTATCTTGTTGAGTCTGTCGGAAACTCAACGAGGATTGACTACGGAACCGGTAAATGACATTTAAACTAATAAGTGTGGTTGCCTAGCATGTGCGTGTAAATCATTGTTATATAAAATTATTTAACTTTGAGATTAATCCAAAATATTGTTACTCCAGTAGTTTGTATTTATCTCGAAGTTAAAATATTTTATATGAAATCCATTACAGGGTTTCTTCTGAGGGAAAATTAGACAACGGAGGTAATGGCCAGTTTGGGGAAAAGACGCGCATGATGGATTCAAAGGTGTGCAGTAGGCATGAATGTGGATTCTGCAGGCAGATGCGGGGGAGAGAGGTAGACGGGTTTCTGGGTGTCTCCCCCAGCAAAATTTTACAAATTTGAATATCCTAGACTTCATTTGAGGCACCCCAAATATAAAATTTCACCTTTTAGTTTAAATCTTACTCTGTTAGCAGACCTACCAAGTCTCACGCATTTTGCGGGAGACTCACGCACCTGGACCCATTCTCCCGCACTCCCGCATGCCCTACGCATTCTCACGCATTCACGCAAAAGAAAAAGAAAAGAAAAAAAGCAGCCCACAACACCCCTGTTACCCAAGGAGCTAAATATAACAAGGAGAGGAAGCGCCGCCATATCTGGCCCAAATTTGGGTTCGGCAGAGACCCTAGAACAGATTAGTCTTCTATTGTCTCTGGGTTCGGTCTGCACAGCCGTTTCAGCTGATTATGGTCCATAGATGGCGCCCTTGAGGCGAAAAGCACACAGCCAATCCGCTTCCTCTTCTTGTTATATTTAGCTCCTTGCTGTTACCCACGTCTGTGGCTGTGCACATCGTGGCTGCGTACGTGCTTGCTGGCTGGGGCGGCATTGATTGAAGTACGGGGGGGAGGGGGCAAATGCACTGATTGTTACAGTCGTATGGGCATGTTTATTGCTGTATATGTAGGGGTGGGCACCGCTGGTATAAGGGAGCGACAGCAAAACTTTCCCAGAATCGAGGAAAAAGCTGCAATCGGGAATGACACACAAGTGTGCCAGCACGCAAAAAGAAACGTTGCTGTGAATTTCATTACTATTTGCCATGTATATAGTCAGAAGCACGTGGTGATCTATTTATTTTTGGATTGACACTATTTTGACAATGGCGGATAAATACAGGAACATTTTCACAACGGCATTGTTAAATTTGACAACGGCGGTGTGCCGCAGTGCCACCTATGTAGAAGAAACCCTGCATTAAATTAAAGTCTAATGACAGTACTCTTAAATCTTTGTTGTTTTAAACTATCCACTATACCCAGCAGGCCACGTGTGGTTAATTCTGTCACTTGACTGATTGCTGTATGTATAATGCTATCAGGACTTCTTGGGATTTAGGTTTCATATCTTTACCTGAGGTGTCAAGATCCTTCACAAACAAGTGTAACTGTATTACGATATTTCACAGTAATATCGGGGAATACGTTTTTGGCATGTTGTCAGACAACAACACTGGCTCATGGTGACTTGGCTATCACATACAGTAATAATTATGTAGATATGGAGTATAGGTTTGTCATTATGCAGCTGGTTGGTTCCAATGCTTGTAGGTCATGAGGCTGCCTTTATCATGTTTCTCGTATGCCTTTACAAAATCGGTGTGTTGGAGGAAGGCGACTCGAAAGCGACAGTGCTCAAGATTTTCGTGAGGTAGGTTCAGAATACGTAACAAGGAGTGTTGCTAATCCAAATACATAATTTACTTCTGGTTCTTGTCACCTAGTGCCATCTAGTGATAAACCCAAGCAACTTCAGCCATCTTGACAAAGACAGCTAGACCGACCAGTCAACAAAATGTTTGTTAATGAGCAAATCGGATAGAAATTAATAAATAATAACACTCATCTAAATGAAATTATTCTTAATGCCATCCCACGTTGTTGATTTGCTTCAGGTATTTGGATCTTGTACGAAAGCTGCAGGTGACATATAGGATGGAGCCGGCAGGCAGCCATGGAGTTTGGAGCCTCGACGACTTCCAGTTTGTGCCCTTTATCTGGGGCAGTGCTCAGCTCGTCGGTGAGTGTCACGGTCGTCATGGCAACTCCTCATCCTGAAGTAGTGAGAGTATAATTAGATGAGAATACCAACCCCAACTGTTTCTCTTGCTCTCT